CTGACCTTCCTACCCCATCCGCACCTCTTACAATGCACTGCCGTCAATTAAGCTCAGTGCTGTTCCTGCTCCTACTTCTACATCTGGACTTTTGCTCCCTGCTACTCTCTCCTGGAGCCAGGGTCAAAAGTCTCTTCGGGTCTTTGTTGACTCAAGTGCCGAAGAAAACTTTATCAATTTCAGACTTGCCTCCTCTGTAAATATTCCTCTACTCCCGGTCTCCCCTCCCATCTGAATCCTCTGTCTTGATAGTTCTTCCCCTCTCAATTTGCATTGGAGTCACACACCAGGAAGTGATTCAGTTCTACCTTCACCACTCCATGTCACTTCTCCTCATCCTCAGTTCCCCTTTGTTACACCTACACAATCCCCAGATCTCCTGGTCTAATTACGAACTCACAGCCTGGGGATCTCACTGCCTTACCCAGTGCTGTCAAGTTCCCAAGAAACTTTCAGTCACCCTTGTCACCCTGGAGGAATCCTCCTCTATACCTCCCCCTTATTCCGATCTTTACACAGCTTTAAATAAACAAAAGGCACTTTCTCTCCCCCTCCATCGTCCTTATGATTGTGCTATTGATTTGATTCTGGGCACCTTACCTCCAAGGAGGTCAATTTTTTCTTCTCTTTGTAAGAATCCAAAGCACTAGAAACCTACATTCAAAACTCACTTAAATCGGATTTCATTTGCCCTTCCTCCTCCCCTGCCTGCTTCAGTTTTTTTTTCATTGAGAAGAAGGACGGATCCCTGAGGCCGTGCATTGATTATCACGGTCTCAGTGAAATTATTGTCAAGAACTGATATCCCCTACCTCTCATTCCTGCAGCCCTAGAATCCCTTCGCGCAGCTACTATATTTTCTAAACTAGATCTCTGCAGCGCATACAATTTGATTTGCATTCGCGAGGGCAATGAATGGAAGACAGCTTTCATTACACCTCATGGGCATTATGAATATCAAGTCATGTCAAGTTTTCCAAAGTTTAATGAAAGAGGTTTTTCGGGATATTATTAATAAATTTGTCTTGGTCTATTTGGACGACATTTACATTTTTTCTAACAATCCCCAAAAAAACATCACTCACGTCTGGGAGGTGCTTAATCGTCTAATAAAGAACCAACTCTATGCCAAACTCGAAAAATGCTTATTTCATGTGTCCAAAATTCAGTTCCTGGGGTAAATCATTTCTCCTCTTGGAGTAGAGATGGATTCGTCCAAGACTGCCGCTATAAGGGATTGGCCCACCCCCAGGAAGGTTTTTGGGATTTGCTCATTTTTACTCCTGCTCTATCAGAAACTTTAGCACCGTTGCCGCCCCAATCACCATCCTTACCCGCAAAGGTCACAGTCAGGGTAAATGGAACCCAGAGGCAGACTGCGCCTTCCAACGTCTGAAACATTTTTCACTACTGCCCCCTCCTCCGACATCCAGACCTGTCTCTGCCTTTCGTCTTAGAAGTCGAAGCCTCTGCCTATGGAGTCGGTGCTGTTCTTTCACAACGCCAGGGCGACAAGGGGACTCTCCATCTGTGCTCCTTCTTTTCAAGGAGACTGTCTCCAGTGGAAATAAATTATGACGTTGGAGATAGAGTGCTACTGACCATCAAGCTCGCCCTTGAGGAGTGGAGACATTGGCTGGAGGGGGCCCATAATCTATTTACCATCCTCACGGACCATAAACACCCGGCCTATATCCAGTCGGCATGATGTCTTAACACCTGTCAGGCCAGGTGGTCTCTTTTCTTTGCTCATTTCAGGTTTTTCATCACTTATACCTCAGGATCAAAGAACATCAAGGATATTTGCTTCTAAGCCCTGTGATATCGAATACCTTGTCAGTCCTGCTCTAAAGAATCAGTCTGTTCCAATCCAGTACCCCTCTGACAAGCTGTTTGTCTCTGATAATGTCCGGTTCGATGTCCTTCAATGGGGGCATGACTCCCGCTTGTTCCACTTGTGCCAGGATCAAGTTACCCCGCCAGTGAAAGGCAGGCCTTCTTTAGCCCCTTCCCATACCTGAGTGACCCTGGTCTCATGTCACAGTGGATTTCCTCACTGACCTTCCCAGGAGTCAGGGCAACACAATTATCATGTTGGTCATAAACAGATTCCTCAAATCTGTTCATTTTGTCCCTCTCCCTGCCTTACTATCTGCCCGGGACATGGCTGACCTTTTCATCCGGCATGTCTTCAGACTCCATGGCAGTCCAAAGGACATTGTCTTAGATAGAGGTCCGCAGTTCATATCATGCTTTTGGAGAGCTTTCTGCAGGATTCTGGGAACCTCCATCTCACTTACCTCGGGTTACCATCCAGAAACCAATGGCCAGACCGAGAGGGTTAACCAGAATCTCTTGAGCTACTTTTGGGCATATGTGTCGGCCTCTCAGGAGAACTAGGCTTCATTGCTCCCTTGGGCTGAGTATGGCCACAGCTGCCTATATTCCTCAGCCATGGGCATGTCCCCTTTCTGGTGTTCTCTAGTGTATCAACCTTCTCCCATTCCCAATACCACTCCAGAGACTAACATCCCCTCTGTCCAGCAATACATTTCTTCCCTCTGGAAACTTTGGAAGAAAGCCCGACTTACCCTCCAAAAAACCTCTCATCGATACAAATCCACCACTGACCATCATAGAAGACCTTTTCCCAGGCTCAGGAGAGGACAACTGGCCTGGCTTTGTACTCGAAATATCTCTCTGCGACAATCCTCCCCCAAGCTTGTTCCCTGCTTCATCTGTCCCTTCCGGGTTGTTTCCCAAATTACCCCAGTCACCTACCTCCTTGCTCTTCCCCCCACCCTCTGTATTTACCCTGCCTTCCATGTTTCTCTCCTCAAACCCTACCACAGATCCCCACTCTCCAGACCTCAACCCCATCCTCCCCCACCTCGCTCAATCGGAGGATCACCTACCTTCATTGTTAATAATTTACTGGAAACTCGCCTGTTTAGTGGTTCTCGACAATATCTGGTCGACTGGGAGGGCTATGGATGAAGAAGAGAAATCCTAGGTTCCCAAAACTCACATCCTTGATAAGAGTCTCATTAGGGATTTCCATCGCTCCATCTCTCCTCATCTACAGTATCTATGGCGTCAGGGGCCTCCCGTGTAGGGGGGGTACTGTCACAAATCACATTAAGCATGCAGGCATCACCACATACCCACACACACTCCACACCGCACAAACTCATGCACTAATTGATACCACGTTCCTTGCTATTTAAACCCTCTCTCCTCAATCCGTCCTCGCTCACCATTGAGATATTTTCTTAGCTAGAGCTACAGTATTCAACCCTTCAATCCCAACTGATGCTTACACCCAACTGAAGTTTCACCTGATCTTCCTTTGGAGCAATGAATTTATACTTCATATTTTTTATATTTTTACAAAAGGAGACCTGTATGGCAACATGACTTGGTGTGAAACAAAGCATTAGATATGGAGCAATAGTGCAAAAATGAAAAAAAGTATATTTGAAGTTGATTTTAATAGGAGTTTTCTACTTTTTGATTTTCATTACATTTAATATTGCAATATTTTAAACACAGCTGACAATGTAGTATTATCCTCCCATTTTCTGTACACGCTCAGTATTAAAATTTAAACAAGGACAAATGTGGCTTTTTCTTACATCCTTTTGGTTAGCCTTGTCATTTCCTTTTCATTTTTACACAGTTTCATCTCACTTCCTGTTATTGGTAAATGCTTGTATGATTCACAGCCTTGAGTATAATTCAGTTAAAATCACTCTTATTTGCACCGTTGAAACATACTCAATAGTTTAGACAAGCCCTGTATAAAATAAATGCAATTACAGTGTTTGTGGCTTTAATTGTCTCGGTTAAACAGTAGCAGCTGGCTGTATTAATGAGGTGTCTAACATACAGTACATGAGTAAGATGCACCAAGGGACTGCTGTAATAATGGTAGAGCACTGGTCACAGGAAAGGAAACTGACACATTTATAGCAACATTTATGTGGTAACAAGTGATTGGCAAGAAGGAAAAAAAAAAGAAATTGGTTTATGTTCCTCTTGAACTTTTTAACTACATTAAACAAGAAGAAAGAATGAGGTTCAATGTAAAAAATGGAACACATGCTCTTCCATAGTGTACGTTCATAAGGTGCAAAATATAACACTAAACGATTCACCAGAGTAATTTAAGACTCCAAAATTATTTTCATGTCACACAAATACAAATCTTAACATCAATGCTGCAGTGTTCTTTTTGATTTTCATTGCATTTTATATTGCAGTATTTTAAACACAGCTGACAATGTAGTATTATCTGTACATCTTTACATTAAAATTAGGTATTAAAACTTAAACAAGGACAAATGCGACTTTTTCTTACATCCTGTTGGTTAGCCATGTCATTTCCTTTTAGTTTTTACACAATCTCATTTCACTCCCTGTTATTAGGAAATGCTTGTATAATTCACAGCCTTGAGTATAATTCAGTATAAGACTCCAAAATAATTATAATCACTTACAGTATAGTTGCCTTTAATTTTATTTTAAGGATAGGAATTGTGAGTTTTTTGTGATTGTATTACTATATTTATGTATAGTGGTTTTACGGTTTACAATATAATTCTCAAATAATATTTCGGTTAATCTATTATATTATATTTGTGATGGTTATTAAATGTGAGCTTCTGACTTTCACTTTAAGCTTTGTGAATTTGTCTGAATATTTATCTAGATATTCATTTATCTATATAATATTTATCTTGTCACGATGACACTGATGTCGCGATATTTACACGTGACGTGTAGAAATATTATTTTTTGAGCTTCTACAGTAAATAACCGCAGGTTTTTTTATTACCAGAGGTGTAATACAAGCCTTGACATAAATAAAAGGCTTTGTTTTCCTCAGTCTGTGCGGCTATTCATCTTAATAATTCATCATGAGCAGACATCCCCTCTTCTGCGTCACCAAGGTCAGGAAGGAAAAAAAAAAACCACTGTCTGGGGAGTAGAATTTCGAAAGAGAGGCTCACACTCATCATTGCGACTCACTGACTGCAGCAGAAGCCACAAACACTGCAGGGAACATGCTCTCTGTAAGGGTCTTCCAGGCATTTGGAGTATTTCTGGTCATCTTATCTGGTACTGGGGTCACATCAGGTAAATCACCATATACAAAGAAGGGGGTTTTGTATTTGAAAGCTTTATCTTTTAAAGTTGATTTTGAGATGACCTTGACAGCAGCTGAAGAAGGGATGAACTGATGCCTAAGCCTTTTAAAGAACCTCTGTGTACATCAACACTGATTATTGTGATACAGTATGTTTTATTTTTACTAGACAGCTGGAAAATGGGTGTTGCTCTTTTTTATACAGCCCCTGCCTGTATGAACAGGTAATTTGTTAACAGGCCATTAAATGCTACATAGCTTTTATAATCATGGCTTGCAGGCATTATTACTATTTGAAGCTACTGCAAATAAATAGTTCATGAAGTTTCTGTCTTAAGAAACTGGTTACAAAAGTGCCATTACTCACCAGGATGAGTAATGTTGTAGGGAATCATTGTGAAGTTCATTTTCCATCAGTGTTTAATTTTTTAAAACAGGAAATGATCATTCAATTGCTGGGAGCCCAAAATAATGTTGTCTTGCAGAAGCAAATTAGCACGTTCTATGTATTTAAAAGGCAAAAAAGAAACATAAGAAAGATTGTTTAATTAACTTATTTTTTGTAGAAAAGTAACTTGCTTTCTTTACGTGTACAGCTGTTTACTGAATATGGTATTTCTTGTCACTTACCTTTCAGATTACACAGTTGAGAAGGAATCGACAAAGAAGAATGTTTCTGAAGATGTCCCTGTAGTCAGCAACCTAGTTGTTGAAGGTACAGATGTATTTGCATACACATCATTCTAGTGTATTGGACAGTTTAATTCTAATGTGCTTTTGAGGAAGTTAACGTTCTAATTAGTAATGTATAGGGTTTCCTTTTTTCAATGTATTTGAGAGACTTCAATTAAATGTGAACAAAGTACAGTGTGTGCTCTCACTTACATGACTGGCGTATTGTGGTGTTTGAGAGTGGGCATACAAATTGAATTTTTTTTTAACTTGGAAGGTTTGTTTCCCTCCTAGGAAGAAAGATTAAATAAATGTTCTAAAACCACAACTAACTCCCATATATGCATTTCTTTTATTATACATAGAATAATTCTCTAAAGCAGTCAAGAAATGTTATCAATGCTTTTATGCTGTTGCCAGTGTGAGTAATTGGAATCAATAAGAAAAAATTGAAAGGAGGTGAAGGCCCAGTTTCCGCCATTCACAAGTTCTAGCTTGTACATTTCCTCTACATTCATCATGTCGCCTGCCTTCCACACATCGCAACCACTTTAACAAGATGCAATCCTGATGACCAACTATTTTATTTTTTTTAGGATACACTAATGCATGGTTGAAAAAAGAAGTAGATATTACACAATTCGCCAGGCTGGAGCTTTCATGTGATTTACGTGGCCTTCCTCATGTCACAAATACAATTATTGGATATTGGAGAAAAGATGGCAAAGAGATTCCTTCTACTCGGGTTAATATAACTTGGAAAAATAAGCAACATTACCTTAAAAATACGTAAGTATATTATCATTTTATAAGGGCATTATAAGGGTATTTCAACTGGTAGACAATTTGTGATGGTTACACTAGTTTAGGAAAGTAAATTGCCCCTTTTCCCCTTAGTCAGAAAAGAAAGGAATAGGAAGAAGTTTAATTAACTGATAGGGTTAGAAATTAAGAACTCATCCTCCACCATTGCCCATTTTAAATAGCTGAAGACAATTGAAGAAATTTCCAATTGAGGCAATAGAAATCTATGATCCTTACTATTCAGGAAAAATGAAGACATTTACAATGATTAAAGATACATGGTCCTCTTTAACAGATATGTGAGGTACAGCCAAAGGTTTACCTAGATGAGAGGCAGATAATCTTGGTACTGTATAAGAAATAATAATTATGATGATTTTAGGGTGTTACTGTATGTTGGGAATCTTTCTTATTCTTCACCAGAGCTGGTTACTTTATTTTGAGAGGCAATAATATCAGTATGAACCCACGGGTCCCTTTTATTTTAAATCAAATAAAAATAGGTAATTCTGGTGCACAAAAAAATATTTTTGAGAAATGTGAAAACTCTATGGATAGTGTCCATAGGGTCGCCATGAGTTGATACCGACTCGATGACACTCAACCACCACCACCATATGTGTTATAGGAGTATTTAAGCTTTCTGGATGTCTGACCTTGGTTTAAAAAAGTCAATCAGACAGAAATGTATGTAGATGAGCGTTGTACCGTCAGTGTCAGGCACCAAAGGTTTCTTATTAATTAATAAACAAGGGACTGAAATCTGTTAATTTTAAATGTATTCAGTAAATGCTTAATGGGAAGAACTGAAAGTTAGTTATTTCTTCATAAGCATACCAAAACAGGGTAAAATGCTGCGTGTTGACCTGCACATGGGAATTGTGTAAATTCATGTTGTATCTTTACCATGTTGTTCTCTAAGAGACTTGTTCTTTATAATAAGCCCATTTTTAATGCAAAAAGCCTGTCTTACTTAAACCAATGGATCTTGTTTCTTGCACCTGTGGTATGTTGTAGGAGGGCCTACACACATTTAAACCCTCTCTCCTCTCTGGGGAAATGTGGAATCGGAGCTGAAGCAGGACCACCCTTTAGTGTAATAAACCTTCCCACCCATAGCATGAGTCTGTAATCTACGTGCCTATCCATTTCCTGCTGCCATAACCTTACACGTTGTCTTAGCTTGAGCTCTTGAATGGGCACTAAGCCTAATCAGCCACTTACGTCTTGACTGTAAAACTAACCCAGCTAATAACTCTCACCCCCAAAACTAAGCCTTTAATGCATTACGCTCAATGCATTAACCTTGTCACAACTTTACTAATGGGAGAATAGATAACCACTAATCTTTCCTGTACTAATTTATAGAGGAACTTGGATCCAAATTCTCTTGTCATACAATATGTCTCAGGAAGTTTGTCAAAGCTGCTGTCTAGTGACTTAAAGACTTTGTATACATTTTGAAACCAGGCAAACATAGTGCTGGTAAGAATTTGCAATTTTTAAACACATTTTGTTTAAAAACTGAAAATGTTATATTCACTTAATAGTGGGAGCAAGAAATGAATTGTACTGCAGTATATGATACTGTATATATTGTCTTATAAGAATGAGGTGATGCTTATAATTAAGAATTGTAAAGCTATGCCTGGATCTCTCTGTCCCTCCATATAGAGCAGCCAGGCAAGAAGGAAATTGATTAGAGATGTCAGTGGAAGGCCAAAGGCAACTTTGAAAGATCTGAGCAAGTTCAGTGGCGAAAGTGGTAGAATATCTATGGGTCAACAATATTTACAGTAAGTCAAGGAACAAGTTATACTGTAGGTTTATTCTATGCTGAAAAGAGAAGAAAGAAAACATAATGTTTTGGCTGTGGAGCCTTCCTCGGGCGTCATACCTGAAGAAGGCCCCACGGCCGAAATGTTGTGTTTTCTTTCTTCTCTTTTCAGCATGGAATAAACCTATTACTTGTTCCTTTGCAGCCTACGCATGCTGACGTAGCTACCCACCTGAACTTGTACATAAGTGTGTGTGAGAGAGGTTCAGAAAATATAACATTATATTTTAATACCTGTATATTTTAAGTATACATTATTACTTAAATGAATTAAGAAAAATACCACTGATAATAACCACCTTCAAAAATTTAAGTTATTATTTTGTGGTGAGTGGATATAAAACATACAGCATGAGAACAATCAGGAATATCAAACTTGTAAGCTTTCCTGAACAGAAACATCTAAGTTTTCCATACTGTACAAACTGTGAGTCAAATTGAAAACAATATTCAGTTTAATCCATGCCAGTTTTTATGTTGAATCATCAACATTTCCAAAGATAATTTGTATTATATACACAGTAACTTGGATCCATTAGATCCTATGTTTAAAACATTTAAGAGCTTAAATCTCCATTATTTCCATGGTATTCTGCATGTAATGTAAGTCTAATTTCCCAAAAAAATTAATTTGTCTTCTCTGCAGCCTTTTGCATTACAAATTTCTATTTCTATTTCTATTTTCAAATTTCTCGTAAGATCTGTAAGGTTCCACCCTTCCTGTTTCATGTATGACACAGAGAGAGAAAAACCTTTTTTGGCAGATGCTTAGCTACCTTATATAGACTTAGTTTGTGTTGTTATGGAGGCTAATAACTAACATTCACTACAGATCTACAGGAGTCAAATTACCTGGGTATTTGGGGACTGGTTAGATTAACTGCCCCATTGCACAAACTGTATACTGCCAAAGCTATACTTCAGGACAATACATATTGTACATGGACTCCTTTGCTTGGCCCCTCTTCCCATTTAAATTGTTTCTGTATTATTGAAAACAGAGCTCTTATTCTTGCAGTTCCCATGAGCATATACAGTAGTGTAATTATGTCCTTCTTGATATGGATATACTGTATACAGTGCAGTATATTACATTAAGCATAGATTGTGCACATAATACTGTGTATGTTAAAGCTATCCTATCCTATATTGCAGGTTCCACATTACCAACAATAGTCATCTGGGTAATTATTCCTGTGTATTTGACCTTAAACCTCCAGCCATAGCCATGTTTGTCATTAAAGGTCAGTACTATAGATCATGTAAAAATGTATGTTCGTGATCATTTGTGCAATAAATGGAAGATATTTGTGTTTCGTTTATTTGTGTTATAAATTAATATTGTTAAAAGACAAAGGATATTTTGTCTCAAACATATAACAAAAACAAATATTATATTATATACAAATAATAAAAACACTAAACATTCTTGCATAATCAGCAAGTACTATATGTTTAAAGCATAGAGTACTTACTAATCAACGTAAGTTTGGTGGTATAGGCTCCAACAATGCTACAGTCACAAAAAATAATAACATTTAAATTATATTATATTGCAGTGTATAGGTTATGTTGCCACAGTTTTGCATTATGCCTCTAGCCTTGTTATCATTGTTGGTTTTGTGTAACAACTAAAATAAATTCAACAAATAATTTGTTGATGGTATAATTTTGTAACGTTTTATAATCTCATAAACAGTGTGCAGTAATTTGCAAAATAAATACTACCTAATATTGACAAAGCATTACAGTAAGGCCCAGAAATATGCATGTAGATAAAAACACTTCAAAATGAACATCGTAGTTGAACATATTTATTTCAGTTTTCACTACCTCTCACCACAAATAGATTTCAACAATGACATTGCGAAATGGGTTCATATAGAGGTAAAGTCTCTATTCTCCTATGCATTCTTGATTTGCAAAATTTGGAATTTGGGTTGTGTAACTGCCTCACTCTCAGTTTCCTTATTTTATATGTATTTCATGTTTTGTCTGTTTTCAAGTGCCTGACACTGAAGGAAAAGATAAGCCAATTGTTAGCTATGTACGAGATTCAGTGGTGATGTACTGCAAAAGTAAACATATCCCAGACAACTGGATTTGGTACAAAATTCATGGCAATGAACAGGTAAGTTTTTCATGAATGTACATACAATATGATTTTATTTAACATGCTAGTTTCAGGATAATGGTATTGGAGTTTTAAAGGTGGGATGTGATAAGTTATTTCAGTTATGACTTCTGATCTGTGGCATTTCTCAGTCTGTGCTTGCCTTGAAAAACCATTGCATTCTCATGAGGGCTCATGGATTTGCAAGTCTTGCCACTGCTGACCAGGTCCCCTTCTGGTGATCTGTCCTAATGAGCAAATATGATTTCAGTTATTTAATTGCTCTTTTTCCCAATTTAATGCTGAAGCACTGCATTGGTGGAGCTGTGTCTTTGTTAATTCCCGACTCCATTTTTCTGCCTGGTTGTAGTAATGCCTCCGCTCTCTCCATCTTGTGCTTGTTGCTCATTCTGCTGGCCTCCTCCTCTCCGTCAATCATCCCTCTCACTTCAGGGGCAGCCTCCATCTTCCACCACCCCACTGTTACAAGCACAGCCGGCACCAATTGACCATCATTATTCAATCTCCTTGTCCCTCAGTATTTAAACCCTACATTCACTCCTAGTCCTTGCTCTGTATTAGGAATCTATCCGCCACTTGAGCTTGCAACGAGCTCGAACCTCTGGCTACTGACATACAGACCTTTCTAGCTTTGGTCTCTTTCGTCTCGCCCCTTTTTGGAATCGTCTTCTCCAACCGGACTCTGACCTCTTGCCTTGGACCTATCGACAACCCTTTCGTCTTGCCCCTTTTTGGAATTGTTTGCCTTGCGGCCTTCTCCAACTGGACTCCGACCCCTAGCCTGGAACTACCAACCACTCTGCTCCCTTGCTCCTCTCAGACTTGTAGCCCTCAGACTCTCTCAGCAACCTGCACAGGGCTCATAACTACTCGTTCGTAATACCCACGGCTCTCTCCATGCAGTCACCTTCCCTCAGACTAGCAGCCCCATTCCTGTCCTGTGAAGGATCCTGTATGCTGGCGTTTTCTTTGACTCCACTCATCCCTACCACCTTCCTGGCTTTTCTTCAGGGCAACCTTTCACCATTTCTTCAGGGCTCTTTCCTTTTTCTCACCCTCACTCTCGATCCCTAATCTGACAGGTATCTTCAGGTGTCTTCACCACACTCTGGTCACTGGTCACACTGGTCATTTTAAATGATCTACTGTATGTCTTAAACCTTCATTGACTTTACTGTTTATGGATGTGGCTCACAATGCACTGTAGCCCTGGGGGTGCAGTTTTTCCTCGAATGGACACAGTCCTCACGGTGCTCCAATTACTACATGATCAAGTTGTGAGCCGATTTGCCCCTCTTTCTACCAAGCCATCTCATCATCTAACTAACCTTACCATCTCTAAAACACCTGAACTGCCATGGAGAAGACCCTCTGTCATTTGAGCTTCCCAAAGACCATTATGATCCGAACAGTCCTTGCATCTTTTGGTTCTTATGAACTTAATCCAGGATAAACCCTGTTCCTGACTTCCAACCTTGACTGTCCGTTACCAGAACTTGCCTTGACCCTGTTCTGCCTGAAACTTCCACGTGGCTTATTTCTCTGCCTGGATTCAGCTCTGCCTCCTGGCTTTTTAATACTTTTTCTCTCTGCCAATTTTTCCCTCTTTCCTTGGCAGTATCTGACAGTTTCCATAAATCACTGTCAGCCTGAACAAACTGCGTCATAACAGGTTTTGATAAAGAATGCGCTTTGGGGATGGACAGTTTGCTGGTGCTCATAGATGTTTCTGAGGCCCCACTGAACTGATGCAATTTCAGCCTTAATGAAGTCAAGGAAAATCACTGTTCAATCCTAATTTGTTGTATTTTACATGATGTGTCCTGTGCACACTCACCCCTCAATGTGTAACAGCGTGTTCTTTGGTTTTCATTGAAGTTTAAGCAATGCTCCATTGAATTAAATTCGATTTAAAATACTTTCATTCCTAAGAGGGAAATTTAAGAAAAATGTTAACATTTACCTCACAAACAATGAAACAGTCTTGTTGCATTTGTTTTCATTCTTATTTTAGATCATTATCAATGAAACAATAGATCCTCAACGGTTCAAACTTGAACTATATAATGACACACACGGGTCAAAATCCACCATTACAATACAAGATTTGACAGAGAAGGATGCTGGAATCTTCCGATGCAGCGCAGTGTACGAAATTGGGTCAAGTGAGGGCGACATTCATCTAAGAGTCTTAAGCTACATGGAGCCCCTCAAGCCTTTCTTGGCCCTTGCCGCAGAGGTCATTATTGTTGTGTCTATAATTCTCATCTGTGAGCACAGAGGCAAGAAGAAGAAAACTCTCACAGGTGAGAAAATTCATAGACAAAAGAAAAGTCCCACAGACAACTGTTTACATATTCATTCACAAATACTTGATGATGAAGACATAATTATTATTCCTGTATAAAACAAAGTTTCTGAATTTCACTGGTAACTGTCCAGTTATATGCATAATATTTCTAAAATATTAAAATATTATATATATAATAATATATAATCAATATACAATATCAATAATATAATATATAATCAATATATTTGATTGTTTAGGACATCAGTAGATTTACAGTAGGTGCACTGATGTTTAACTTGCTTCCCCACAAGTTAAATTAAATTTAATCAAGTTAAATTAATTCCATGACCTTGAATCCACATTACGTGTCAAAAGCAAATGGTATGTAGAAATAATTGTCTGAAGCTTGCATAGAATACAACACTGTGGTATAACCATGGTTTAAGTCTTAATCACCGGTATTCCTAGATGCATACAACTTTGAATTGAAATGTTTAAAATGTCATTGCAACTATCAAGTAGCATACTTGGGGATCCATTTTATTTGCTAAACAACTTTTTTATGGTTATTATTAGATATGTATTTTTATCTTTTAGACAATATACTCTGTTTATTTTCAGACAACCATTTCAAAATACCAAAACCACTACACGTAATGTAACTGACATTATTTATTTTTTTAGATAAAGAAGCAGATATTGAACTAACTGAAAAACTGTAAGTATTTTTCATTAAACTGCCTCATCTTTATGCCTAGTGGATGACCACACTGTAATGCATGTATGGTGCAAATGATAGTAATTGAAACACAAAAACAGAAAACTACCTACTTCATCCTAAAAATAACAAAATAAAAAGCTTTAAATGCTTTTATGTTCTAACAGAAAAAAGGAAGAAACCAATGGTGTGTCTGATGGTACAACTACAAGACACAGAAAAGCTTAATTTCCATAATTGAAAGGTAAGTAATACCTATAATCTTGCATTTCTTATGATACCTTGATATCTTTGTTAATTGTAAGTATATAGAACATTTACCATGGGGCTTTTCTTAGATAAAAGAGAAAAGAATGATTGTATTTTGTACACAATAGTTAAAAGATTTAAAAATCATTTGCTTTAGAATGCCCTGGACAAAGTTGTTCTAAATGTTCTTCAGTTGTTCTGAAAGAAATTATAAATAGTCCAATGTCTTTTCAACTCGGTCACTGTTTTGTTACTTCTGACTATTCTTCTATTCTTCTATTTTTGTGCATCGTTTCTCTAAAGAGGAAATTCACCACACCTTTTGATTTCATATATATGCAATAAACAAAACCAAAAAAGTGAACCTGAGTGATGCATAAATGGTCTTCCAGTCAATTTGTTTTTATAATTTAATGCACAGACTTTCAACTATTTTCAAATTATGTCTTAATGTGCAGTCCCACAAAATGTATCATTAATTTTAACTCTAAATTGAAATGCCATAAATTAATTATACCCCAGTGATACTCTGCCTATACTAGCCATGGTGGGTAACTGCGTCAGCATGCATAGGCTGCAAAGGAACAAGTAATAATTTTATTCCATGCTGAAAAAAAGAAGAAAGAAAACACCTGAAGAAGGCTCCATGGCCGAAACGTTGTGTTTACTTTCTTCTTTTTTTTCAGCTGTGAATAAACCTATTACTTGTTCCTATACTAGTCATGTTGGGCTGCTATCCTAAAATTTGTCATTGTAACAATAAGGTAGATCTTTTAATTTTAATGACCTAATGGAGCCATTGTTAAAAACTTAAATGTTAATTATAGTAATCTAATATAATTTATTATTAGGTCCTACAGAGATACACTGGATAAATATCACATTTCATGTGGATACCTTTGGATGAAGATAAACAGCAAGAGCAAATAAAAATCTCAAACTTTCTAACAGGACAAACCTAAATATGGCTGTGGGAATGGATGGTTTGTATTGGTTGGTGTAGAATTTAATACTGATTTAAAAGCAGAAAATGTAAAATCATAAAATGTGTACATATGTGAACACATATCGGTAATATACTGATTTGTGTGTGAATAACTGTGCTCTGATGGAAATTTATTTAGTTTAAAAAAAACAATCTGTTTTCTGAATCTTAGTAAAGCAAACCTCTTACAGTAAACATGTGCAAATCCTACTAACTCACATTTATTTTTTGCTCTGCGGTGGATAATGTAGTTGAACGTTCTCTTAATTTCCATTATTGGTGGTTTAAATATAATGGAACTGACTTAACAATTCATAGAAATTTCTGCAATGAATGCTTAGCAGATATGAGTTATTTTGTTGAAAGGCAGGTGTTTGTCATTATACTATATAGTAAATAGAAATGAACATCTACCTCTCTTCTCTTAAGAATTTATTACTGTATGTAGTCAGCTAATCTTATGACTTTTCTTTCTTTATTTTATATTGGTATTATATGTGCATCTGTTTCCCTCATGTCTCAGCTTCTTTTAAGGATTTATATTTCATCTTATCTGCAAAGCCCGCAAAATGTTATGGCTTTCTTCTGGAGAGCCATTGCTTAAAACTTTCATAGTAGAAGAGCAGCCATTAAATAGTTAGTTTCAATTTTACTATTAACCCAAAATAAATGGAATTCGCTATACCAAACAGTTTCCAGTAGCCTAATCAACATAGCTAGACTGTTGTTCCCTCACTCCGTATCTGACTCAGATGCAGTATCTATCCCATCTGTATCTGAAATTTCCCATCCACTGTGACTCCCAGTCCTAGGGTTAAACTGAAAGCTATTGAAATTTTCCTATACCAGAAGAAGAATCAATTATAAATAATACTTTTTGGATGGAACAAGACATTTCAGAATGGAGTGTGAAATTAGATTAAAATCAGGGACAACATTCCCATATCTATACTATACATTTCTGCATAATACATCATATTAGATTATTGCAACATCAAAAGCATAATGTACAATACATTATGTTTAAATTCATTCTATAAATGTATATTTCACCACTAAGGGAATTTGACTCCAACAACTACTTGAAGGACAATGTACTGTATCTTCTTGAACAACCTAACACCTTGGCATCTGTACAGTCTTTGAAGAACACAACTTTTCAGTTCCTGTCTGAACATTAGACATAGATTATTTCCATTTTTATTCCAATTTTTGCCAAACCACATACAAGTAAATACTTTTTCTTCACATCAACAACTATATATTGTTTATTTAACAAATCCATAAAGGTAACATTGTCTGCATACACATTTTAGAAATATATATTATACTGTATGTGCATGAGATACTACATAAGCCCATTGCTGCCACCAAGGGAAAAAATAATTGCCCTCTTATCTCGTAATTACGAGAAAAGTATCTTGGAATTACGATATAACGAATTATCTTGTACTTACAAGATAGCAATGATTACTTCAGTGTATGTATGTTGTGCACTGAATGCATCTAGAAGCTACCGTGAGCTTGGCTGACATTTTCAGTTTAATGATTGTGTCAATGTCCAGCGCTGCAGAATTTGTACGGATTTACTTTCAACAGGGGTTTAGTCATAATGAAAATTTTAGCAAATTTGAACATAATCATTATAAGCATGAGGACCAGTTTTGTGGGATTTAGAGATCAAAGCAATGATGGCTCTGTTAAGTAAAGTTATATAGTATGTGCCATTAGTTCCACTGCTTAAAACTGTAAGTACTGTAGGTATTATACTATATGACAATTGTGCTATCGTGTGATCACATAAAATACTCAAGAATTACAAAGTTATCTCGTAATTACGGGAAAATGTTCTTGTAATTACGAGATACCTTTGTCAGAATTACAATATAAGGGCGAGGATTTTTTTTCCTTGGTGGCAGCAATGCGCTTCTGTAAGATACTGCTATGCATTGCAGCTTTGGTTAGGCACACTTTATCAGGGAATTCCTACCTTGCCTATTAGTATAGTGGAAAAAACTGTAGTATTTTAACACGACATGCTTTTAGGAAGTTATAGAATTTTAAAGAAAAAACTTTGAAAGCAATGATATCATTGTCATAAGAACATGTAAATATAAGAAAGATTACAAATGAGTAGATGTCATTTGGCCATCTAGTTCATTTGGTTGCTAGCCACAAGGTGATCTAAGGGTCTACCATTTCTTGAAAGAAACCAAGGTATCAGCTTCAACGACATGACTTGATAAATATTTTCTGTGAAGAAAACTGTCTCGTGTTCAAATCTACATGCCTCCTTTAAAATGCCTCCTTTAAAATCTGGTTTATCTTTCACTACTACTACTTAGTAGATTTTAATAGTGATCTCTAACTGTGAAACTGCAAATTTCATGTTCAACACACTTTAAAAATGTGTAGCATCATCTACAGTCTTTAGTAAAATTGGTTGTTTATTCGCAGTTGCATTACAAAGTTTGACAAAGTAATTGTAATACATACTGTATAAAGACATAAACAATGCAAAAATAACAATATATTTTATGTTTCATAAGAAAATCTTTGTCTTTCTTTTCTATTAAACAATCGTGATATTTTTGCCTTTTGAATTGCTTTTACGAAAAAGTGTTAATTTTGCTTAGATTGGTCTTCACAGTTGTAAATGTAATGTTGTAAATGTCTTGTAAATCATAGCCTTTACTATTTAAAGGCTTATTTTGGAAGTTAAAGGTAATGTTAAACATTTACTGTACACTGCTGCCAAGTGTCTCTTAGGCTCATTTTAACAATAATCTGTGTGCATTATTTTAGTTTTTGGATTGACTGTATTTTCCATTATGTAAGCAAATTCCTAGTGATCTATTTACATTCCTTTTCATTGTTTTTCTTTCAATGGTAATATGTCAATGTTAAAAAAAAGGTTTTAATTTTCAGTGCAAAAGATACCACAACTTTTAAGTATGTCTTAAAAGTTGTCCAGGATTATCTGGCTACTCTCCATTGTCATGATGCGTGTTTATCATTTGTTATAAGGCAGGGTGCTTCTTAAATTCCACGCCGACAGGAGTTTACTTATTCATAGCATAAAGGATTCCATGCAACTGTAAACATTCTAGTTCTATGTGTTCCCACAATTTAAATCCAGTGTCTAAATACATTTCTATACAATTTTATATGTTTTATTGAATATTTTTAGAGTAATACATGGAATCATTTAATGAGTGATGGAATGTAATAAGGCAATGCACAAATCAGCAAAAATGACCTGAAGCAAAAATTCAGTCAGTTATAAATGTAACAATACAACTTCTGTAACATGTTTTTCATCAAGTTTCCTAATTAAAGACAGAAACTTAAGCAAACAAAATGGTTTGTTCAGTCACATTGCCTAGGAACCTAAAGGCATATTTCATTTCACCCAGAAAGAAAATACTGCTTTTGCTTTGTTCTTTACCTTGTGGCCTTTTACTGTATAGTACAGATAGTTTTGGCATTCCCATGTGACCACCTTGTTCAAATTATTTTCAGACAAAGCTCTTGAAAATAAGTATGATACATTTCCACAGTTGACTTGCCAAAATCAAAACCATTTATATGACTCATGCCTTATTCATCTATAGAATGTTACATGAACCATTACACTGGTCATGATTTGTGATTACAAAGAACTTAACACTGTTTTGAAAAGAAAAAAAGGAGTATGAAGGTGAAAAAAGCTACGCATATGGTGGTATGCCAGTTCCTCTCACAGCTCCGGCGTCCTGCCTTTAATATTAGCCTTAGGTGTCTGTGTGGAATTTAAATGTTCTCCTCACGTTTGCATGATTTTTTTCTGAATGCTCTGGTTTCCTGCCACCTTCCAAAGTAGTGCTAACTGGTTTTGGTTATTCCTACAAAGTGTCCTCACAATTTTACAAATGGACACCCAAGACTCTTCAAGTATCCTTTGTTGTTGAAATTAGAACAAAATGACATGGGGAATTATGGGTATGAGATGCAGAGTGGGAAACAGAAATACAAATAAAGGGGAAGTAGACGTTTATCCCCCTTAAGTCACACACACACAAACACTTAATGGAATTTCTAACAAAGGCCTGAGTAATGACAGCAAATTCTTTTTCACCTCTTCTACTCTTATTCATAATCCTCTATGATATTACTTCTTGAAAATATATACAGTAAATACCATAGTAAGCCCCACTCTCTTCATAGTTTGGTATTCTTCCACCCAATCACCTTTTCACCTTCTCTTTGGTTAACGTCTCATGTGATAAGGGTCCTAACGTCCTTATCCTATGGCCTGGTGATCAACCCTCAGCCAAGTGGACTAAGCCAAATCTTTTTTTACCTAAATCTTCAATAAATATTCCTAAATTATTATCGTTATTCCTTGCGAAAGGGAGAGGTGGGTGAAGGTCCTTTCTCAACTGTTTCATGTTCAACATTGCAAGACACCAGTTCCACTGAAACAAGAATGGATCGGTGTCTGGTGCCTTTGAATAAAAACAAAATCGACAACAGGTAATGCTGGAACTAGTGTAAAAAACAGGGAAGTTCATGATGCATCTAGATTTCATGAAAGATAAAAAAAAATATTTGTATTTTGTATGTAATGAGAATTCTGAAAAGCCAGTTTGCCTGATGCACCAGAAACTTTACCTTGTATTATCACATCAATAAAAAATGAAGTCATTCAACAGTACACAAGGAACAGGACAAAAAATACCTACCTTTAAATTGTATCCAGAAAACACCTATCCTCTACTCAGTTCACTGGAACATTTTTTAAATCAGGCTGAGCTCTGGTCCAATGATGTTGTATCTCTTTACCTTTTTTGTGTTAAATATTTTAAGTGATCCCCAGTTGATTACTTTTATTGGAAAAGTGACCATCAATTAAAAAATGACTGTGAAGACAACCACTCTATGCAGCAGGTCTCTGAAATGAGAATGGCAAAACATACAGTATGTTGTTCTAAAAGTATACAACAGATCCAAGTCCGTTGGCTGCAGAGATGTACAATAATATATCAATCACTGAAAAAACTGAAAGTATTAAAAATAAGATAGGACAATAATTACAGTAAGAATAGTTTAACCTTTCCTTTCATCTGAAAGGAAATACAATTACACTGTAAGGGGTACTACCCTTTTAGTTATAATCAAATTGTCTCAATGAAATGTGCAGCAATTAAACTTAAACCTGTGATCTCATGCTGAGATTGGAATGGAGCACAAGGTTACTTGCTTAAAAAAAATGGAGTTGGTGGACATCACCACAAACCACCTAAAGTATACTACAGAGCTTTCTTACCACAGTTCCCTTTTGTCTAAAGTTGCCATTCACACCAATAACTTTTTGCTGCAATTATAACCACTGTATCACAAAGATTGCAAATATTTTTTAGCAGTACACATTTGCATGTCCTTCTGCCCTTTTTAAAATCACTCCATCACATACAATTGTATTTCTTTTGCCTTCCCTACCCCATCCTTAAGCCCATATTTTTGCTCTCTGTCTCCTCCACAAATTTGAAAAACAAAAGCCAAATAACCAAAACATTTATATTTGTTTCTTCTTCCAAGAATTTAAGGTCAACTTTTCTTTTTTTCAATTCAGATACTTTGAAACACAAAAGGGCATTTTTTATAATGAAGGACACTGACCACAGCATTGTCATTAAGATGTGCATTTAAACCTTGGCAGCCTTCAATGACTGATAATAAGACTGCATTTCTTTTGGTCATCATAACTGTACAGTATTTACTTAAAAAACAAGTAAAACAAAATAATGCAATATCGTTTTAAATGAACAAAAGGTTAGTGGAAAAGGAAAGATTTACTAACAGCATCATTTGCCACAGCCTTGTGAGAAGCATTTGTTATACATTACAAATACATTACAGATATTTTAATAAATCTGAAAGTCCAGATTCGGTATATATTTAACAAAATGTGTAATAAAAAGCCTGCTTGTAGATGTGACAGGAAAAGGACATTGGATCTTTTATTGGGTATACTGACTCACTGTGACTTACATTAATGTACTGTTGCTTGCTGAGAAAATGTCTCATTCTACATCTGGTCTCCCTCTGTCACCCTGAAAACAGTGATTAAAAATAAGAAACACTTATGAGGAGTTGTTGCATTCTTTAATACACTAATTTTTGCAAGGGATCCAGAAAACAGATTTGAACAAAGAATACCAAGCAGTAATTGCTGCCCAATGTGACACACAAGCAGATAAAAAAAATGATGAAGTATAGCACCAATTTACACAGCATTTGCAGATCATACATGCACAGCCAAAATCCCACTTTGACCTGAACAAGAGATAAATCACATAGTAATGATCATGTGCAGACACAACAAATCTGGATTTAAAAAAAAAAAATGTTAAAACATTTTTGTAAAGTTTGATTTCAATCAAATTAAATTATAGTTTATATTAATTAGCATTTTTTATTAGTTACTCTGGGTACCAAAGTAGGATAAAATAAATGCACCCTTCTAATCTGTGTTGTTTTTTACATAGCAATAAATACATTATATTTTGATGTAATATGTAATTTCCTTCTACATATGTTTTTAAACACTGTTTTTAAGAAACAGACTGTAGCAATGGATGCAATTTTAAGCTTGGCCACATGATGTCACTTTCTGAACACAGTGGAATTGCAACACCTTCTGTAACTACAAAATGGATGATACAGGTTAAAAATAAATTTGTGCGTCATTATATACCCAGCAAGGTACACATACTGTGTAGATTTAATCTATTTTGTTGTTTCAGCAGTAGGAGAAAGAATGCATAACATTATGGAAAGAAACTCAATTAATCTTTCAGTGAATGAACTTGAAACATACAGTATAGTGGCCTCTTTGAAACAAAGAGGCTAAAACTAATTTTTATGATGACAGCAGCACTTTACACCAAAATAAATAAATACAGACAAAATATAGTGTATAAGTAAAATGCATTGACCTTGTTTGGTTGATGTATCCCATAGATACGCCCTTCAGCTACACACCTCTCACCCAAAACACGCACGCAGTCACATTCACACAACCTTAGCAGGAGGAGAGCCATTCATTTTATCTGACAGTCTTGCAAGGGCTGAGGGAATTCATTTGTATTCTACCGGCACCCTCCTACCTGCCTTACCCAATGAAATCAATTCCTTACCCAGTGCTTTTTATGTATTTCTCCAGTTAAGAAAAAAAAATACAATGTGCCTGTCTCTGAGGACTCGTGCAGAATGACCTTAATCACCACCTATGGATGTCCAATTAGCAGAATCCCATCTGTGTCAGATGATTACTATGCCATTTTCCTCATTACCATTCTGGTTGAATTAAGAACATGCTGCAGAGGAAAGCTAGAGTTTTCATCTATTTTTCAGAGTCCTGTGTTTGATACACAGGGTCGTAGCTTAGCCTAGCCTAGACACAAGTCTCACACAGATAAAGCAGTAATGCCACCAATACTCTCAATCACAGAGAGGATCACCAAAATTCTGCAATATCTGGCAGATTCTCAGACATGCTAGATATTCTG